AGTATTGTTATCTGAAAAGATGCTTTGTAATACTTCAATATTTTAAAATGTATTGAGACTTGCTTTGTGACCTAATGTATGATCTATTCTGGAGGATGTTTCATGCACACTGAAAAGGAATATGCTCTGTATGAGTTCAACTTGGTTGTGTTGTTTAGTTCTTGTGTGTCTTTGTTGAGCTTTATCCTTTCATCAAAAGTGGTGTATTAAAATCTCCTATGCTCCTGGTGTGGCACTGTAGGATCAGCACTGTACTGTGAACCACAAGGTTGGTGGTTCAAACCCACCAGTAGCTTCTCGGAAATCCTATACTGGACGGCATTTAACAACAACAACGATTATTGTAGAGTTGTCATTTCTTTTATCAATTCTATCCGGATTTGATTTATGTATTTTGAGGCTCTTTCATTAGGAGCATAGAAATTTGTTGTGGTTATGTACTCTTGTTCAATCCACTCTTTAATCATGAGATAATGACTTTCTTTGTCTCTTATTCTGATTTTTGCCTTAAAGTCTATTTTATTAGAGATTAAAATTGCCACTCCTGCTCATTTTTTTATAATCTTTAGTTTGATATATTTTTTTCTACCCTTTGATTTTTAATCTATCTTTGTCTTTGTGTGTAAGGTATGTCTCTTGTAGACAGCATATTGAAGGATCCTGTTTTCTTATCCATTCTGCTACTCTCTTGTCTCTTGACTGGGGCATTTAATCCATGGATGTTCAGTGTAATTATCGATAGGAAGAATTGAATGCTGTCGTTTTGTGTTTATGTATTTTGTGTGTGTGTGTGTGTGCGTGTACGTGCGCTTCTGCTACTTTATTAGTTCCCCCAAATTTTCTGTGCTGAATTCATTTTGTGTGTTCATTTTCTTGTTAATTTTCTCATTGCTATTGTTTTAATGTTTACTAAATCTTCATGGTTTTGCTTTTCCTTGATTTGCTGTGAAGATGTATTAATTTTCTTTGAGGTTACCCTGTAATTTATTATTTTCCTCAGTTTAAAACAGTCTGTTTAATTTTGGAATCTACTTGACATCCTAGACATTTAGAAGTTCAGTAATTATACTTTCCCCATTTTTTTGCTTTGTAATTGCTAATGCAAAAGCCCTAAGGCAGCAGCAGGTAGGTGTTTCTGGGGTCAGGAAGGAAAGCCCAGTGCTGGTAAGAGAGTGGTGGCTGGGGAGTGTTTTCACAAGAGGCTGATGAAAAATGTGTAGGCCATTATAAGGGCCCTGGAGGATAGGCATCTTGTTGTTGTTGTTAAGTGCCTTTGAGTTGGTTCCGACTCATAAGACCCTGTATAGAGTTTCCAAGGAACGGCTGGTGACTTTGTGGTTCAAGCCAACCTTGCGGTCCAGTGCTTTGCCCCTCCACACCACACCAGGACTCCCTGTGGATTAGGCAGTGGATTCCGCATGGGTTGTCCAGATTGAACTGCAGACCTTGTGGTTCAAACTGACCTTGTAGTTGACTCCAAAACCCTATATAAGGCCACTATAAGTTGGAATTGATTTATTACTAGTGAATTTGATTTGGGTGGGTTTTGGTAGCACTGTAGATTGGATATTTGGCTGCTAACTGCAACACTGATTGATATTTCAAACCTACCAACTGCTCTTTAAAGATTTACAGTGGTTGTTGTTGTTGTTGTTGTCAGGTGCCATCGAGTCGGAACCGACTCATAGCGACCCCATGCACAGCAGAACGAAACAATGTTCGATCCTGGGCCAACCTCACTACCGCTGCTACACTTGAGTCCATCAATGATGCCACCTGGCTGATCCATCTCTTTGGGGGTCTTCCTCTTTTTCTCTGACCCTCCACCCTACCAAGCATGACATCCTTCTCCAGCGATTGTTTCCTCCGGACAATATGTCCGAAGTAGGAGAGACGAAGCTTAGCCATCCTGGCCTCCAAGGAGCACTCTGGCTGCACTTCTTCCAAAACAGATCTATTACAGTGGTAGAAACCCTTTACAGGGTCACTATGAGTCAGAATTAACTCTATAGCTATGGATTTTGCAGTTGTTTTTAATCATTTTGGACTTTCTCTAAAGGGTTTTAAGAAAGGAGGTGGCATGATGAGTTTTGTGTCTGAATGTTTTACATAACTGTAGATGGTGCAGGACTGGGCAGTGTTATACATATGAGGGAGCTTTAAAAAAGTTTGTGAAAAATTAAATTAAAAGATAATGGAGCCCGGAGACAGCGGGGACAGCGGGTGGGGGGTGGAGGGGCGGTATGTCCAGGGCTGCGCTACGCTGCCCTGCACTGGCGGCCATGGAGCGAGTCTAGGGCCCGGCAGGAATTGTGGGAGGTGCTTCAGGGAAGAACTGGACCAGTGTGTATAAGCATGGAATTTCCTTGCTAATCATCACCACCCATTCTCCTTGATAAGGGAGAGAGACTGGGTCAGGGAAGAAGGAAAAGAGGTCAACATAAAGCTAAAGCAGCTCGTCTTGCTGTTAGTAGTTCTTGTCATGTGTCTCTTCACCAAAGTTTCCCTAAGTGACAACTTAGATACATCAGCTGCTAACTGGGAGGGCCAGAGGGCTTTTCACTTAATGATGGCTGGCTTGCTAGTGTAGCTGGAGCCTAAGCTGGACCACACCTTGCTGTCTCCCTGGGAGATTGCAGCCCAGTGGGTGGTTTCCCGTGAAGTGTACCCTGAAGAGACACCAGAGCTGGAGGCAATCATGCATGCCATGGCCACCAAGAAAATCATTAAAGCTGATGTTGGTTATAAAGGGGCCCAACTGAAAGTCTTACTGATACTTGAAGGAGGACAGAAAGCTGTCTTCAAACCTAAGCGATACAGTCAAGACTACGTGGTAGAAGAGGAGCGGCATGCTGGTTATGTCAGGCACGATGCAGAGGTAGTGGCCTTCCACTTGAGACAGGATTCTGGGCTTCCATAGAGCCCCCTTGGTGGCTGGCAGATTTGTTAATCTGTGGACAGAGATCAAGCCTATTGCTACCGATCAGCTGTTGAGTACCTTCCTAATCGTAGGAAACAGAGCCATCTTGTGCCACTCGATGGATGGAGGGATATGCCACGCTCTGGCTCCCAGATGTGTGATCTCTGAAGAAACACAGGCACCCCTGGGATAGGACTTAGCAAGAGGGCAAACTGGCCAGGTGGGAGTACAATGAGAGCTACTGTGATGCTGTGAAGAACACGTTCCCCTATGACTTGGGCCCACGCCTCCTGGACATCATTGACACAGCTGTCTTTGACTATCTGCTTGGCAACGCTGGCCGTCATCACTATAAGAGCTTTGAGGATGACGAAGGCACCAGTATGCTCATCCGTCTCCATAATGCCAAAAGTTTTGGGAACCCCTCACTGGATGAGAGAAGGGTTCTCGCCCTCTCTTTCAGTGCTGCATGTAAGTTACTGACCACAGATGCAGGTGTTGCCTTCCTTTCTTCTACAGTCTCAGGTAACAAACAGTGCAGGTGCAGCGATGTTCATGACTTTAAAGTATCCTGGTACCTGCTTTCCACATTTCTTCAGCCCACAGCCCCTGGAGATCCTGGGACAGGATTTAGTAATGGATTGGATTGAAAGTTGGGGGAACGAAGGTGTGCTCAGTAGGTGTCACAGTCTATGAAACATGGTAGTCAATGAAAGATCCTTAAGAGGAAAGTGGACACATCCTTTAGCAAGTAAAGTTTTTTGAAATGTGACTCCAGAAATATTTAAAAAGTAAGCAAGGACTTGACATTCCTGTGAGCAGATTATTTGTGACTAGTTACATTAAATAAAAACCTTTCTTAGTTTTACTCATACCCCCCAAAGCAAGAAGTTTCTTTTATATAGTGGTTACACTTTGGGCTGCTAACCACAAGCTCTGCAGTCCAATCTACCAGCCTTTCGACAGGAGAAAATGGTGTTTTCTGCTCCCATAAGTATTTACCCCCTATAGGGTCGCTACACTCTGGTAGTGTAGTGGTTACGAATCGGGCTGTGAACCACAAGGTCAGCAGTTCGAAACCACCAGCGGTTCCGCCGGAGAAAGATGAGGCGTTCTGCTCCCGTTAAGATTTACAGCCTCTGAAACCCTGTGTAAGGTCGCTATGAGTCGGAACCGACTCCACGGCACTTAACAACAAGGGTCAGTCGCTAAGAGTTGGAAATGACATCCACCACCACCACTCCAGGGTTGGAACAAAGGATAGAAAAAGTTACTTTCCTAGAAATTAATAGCGCAGGTGTCTTCTAGCTGATATAAATTCAAACGAATTGTAAGTCACTCGCAACGTTTTTCCAGGTCTCATAATAATCAAAGCAACACTCTTCAGACCCTTCATAGCAAAAGCTCAACTGAAAGTTTTACAGCTTGCAATTTTCTATTGGCCAAGTTCATCTAAAGAATCTCAGCTTCAAAAAGAGAAGTTTGTTTTGCTCTGGGTTTTAGTCCTGAAGACCGCCCAGGTAATTCAGCTGCGGGTGGGAAAGTGACTTTCCCATTTCCGCCCCCTGCCTGGGCCCCGCCTTCCCTTCCCGCCAACTTCCAGCGCTTTCCAATGATCTAAGCTCCGCCCCTCAGGGCCCAGGGGATCGGCATTTTTTTCCGGACTTTAGAGGTCCCGCCCTCTAGCCCCGCCCTACCCTGGCTGGCGTGCTGGGCTTTAGGCGCTCTTCAAAGGCCCCGCCTCCTGGCCTCGCCTCCCCAGTCCTGCGCAGGAATTTTAGGACCGCTTCAAAAGCCCCGCGACCTCAGTCCCGCGCGCAGACTTTAGGCGCGCTTCACAGGCTCCGCCTTCTGGCCCCGCCTCCCTAGTTCTGCGAGCTGAGACTTTAGGCGCGCTTTAGAGGTGCCGCCCCTTGGCCCCGCCTTTTCGACCCCGCCCCTCACATCCCCCTGGCGTTTGGCGGGTGCTGGCGCTGGAATTGCTAGGGTCGGGTAGGGTCAAAGGTTCGCGTGTTTCTCTAGTTGCGGGCCCGTCTGGCTCTCCGGCTCTCCGAGGAGTCTTTTCCGCGAAGGTGGGGCGATGCCTCGTGACCGGCAGCCGAAGGTCCGCTCTGGGAACGAGTCTCGTCCCGCACCCGCCATGGAGCCGGCGGGACACGGGGCCTGGGCCCACAGCCGTGCCGCGCTCGCCCGGCTGGAGAAGTTGCTACGCTGCTCGCGTTGGTAATATGGGGCCCGCGAGGGCCACCCCGGGGGTGGGGCGCTTTTCACACTCCCACCCGCCTTTTCTCAGTCCCGCGGCGGCGTGCGGACCTAGAACTGCCCACGCAGCTGGATTTCCTCATCTCCCGGGGGCTTCGTAACTCTTCCTGCGCCCAAATCTACTCCTAGGGTACTTCTCCAACTTGAGCGGGCCCTAGACTCGAAATGCGACCCCGCCTCCGGAGTTTGCATTCGTGGAGTCGGGGTGAGGTTGAGGCTTCGCTCCTTTTCACAGGGATCCCTGTGATTGTGGTGCCTGGAATCCCTGAAATTTTACACTGACAGCTGAGGAGCTGCCCTAGAGAGAGGACTGGTACATTTCAGCCAGCTGTCACTCTTTGCTGAGCTTTGGATGCTTTTCCAGAGTCAGTTTTTCTTTTGGTGGGGGAGCCTAACTGGCGTATAATTTAGAGGTAGTAATGGGACGGATACCTCATTTCTCTTATTTTCGGATGTCCTTGGTTAACTCGACTCTGTACTATTGGTTCTCTCAGAGTCAGAAACAACTCAATGGCAAAGGGGTTTTGAATTGCTAATCTCAGGGTCAGCAATTCAAAACTATCAGCGGTTCCTAGAGAGAAAGATGAGGCTTTCTGCCCCTGGAAAGATTTATTGTTGTTGTGAAGTGCGTCAAGTCGATTCCCATCCAGCCTCTAAAACTCTATATAGTAAAATCGCTGAGTCGGAACCGACTCCACAGCACATAACCACTACCAAAGACTAGCCTGAAGTTACAGCTCTGTTTAAGAATGTAGGACTCCAAGAAATGCTATTTCATACTGTTATTTTTTGTTACTTATTTTCGTAAATCTCTGACACCCTGGGAAGATTTTTCATTGAAAGATTATTTTCATGACTGGTACTTACTGCCTTTCCTTTTTTAGTTCTTTTACAGATGTCTTGGGCCTGGCTTCACTTTTCATTTCTTTCAACAGCCTTTATTGAGCATCTGCTGTATGCATAAGCCAGTATTTCTGCATCAAGATCATTCTGGAGGGCTTTCTCTAAAACTCCTTCTAGCCATCATGGCGGTTTCTCATTTAGTCTTTGTTTGTTTTGATTTTTGCCCCTCTGATTTCCAACTTGCAGAAGTTAGTCACTGTTATGTTTCTTATGTGCCTAATTCCTTTTCCAGCATTTTCTTTAAAGGGACTTACTGTTAGAGTTTTCCAATGAATCAGACACTGCTTTAGCCATTGGTGATTCACTAGGAAACAGACAGAAATCCCAGGATTTATGAAATTTACCTTCTAGATTAGATATAAAATGTTAAGTAAGGTGGTTGTCATAGAATCAGGGTTTAGTAAGTATCTTATAAAAATGCAGAAAGATGTTTCTGCTCAGTGAATGGTTGGGGATGTGTGCAATGTAAGAAGTGCCGTAATAGTTACCTACAGAAGGTGTTAGAGGGACACACAAGGAAGCATGAATAATTGAAATCTGTCAGTGTGTGTTAGGGTTGTGTCCTTTTACCCTACTTGTTCAGTCTGTGTGCTGAGCAAATAATGTGGAGAGCTGGATTGTAAGAAGAATGCAGCTTCAGAATTGGAGGAAGACTCACTGACAACCTTCGCTAAGTCTGATAAACCTTGCTTACTGAACATGAAGAAGATTTGAATCACTGATGAAGATCAAAGACTACAATGTTCAATATGGATTGAACTTTAATACAAAGGAACCAAAATCTTCATGTCTGGTATGGTAAAACAACATTAAGGTAAATGGAGAAAAGATTGAAGTTGTCAAGGACTTTAACTTACTTGGGTGCCCATAATCATGAAAGCTGTATTCATTGTATTGGGCAAATCTGCTGCAAAAGGGTTAAAAATCTGCTGCTTTTTAAAGGGTTAAAAAGCAAAGATGTCATTTTGAAGACTAAGGTATGCCTGACTCAACCTGTGAACAATGAATAAGGAAGACCAAAGAATTGATACCTTTGAAATGACCATGGATTACCAGAGGAAAAAACAAATCTTTCTCTGAAACAAGTACAGCCAGAATGCTCTTTAGAAGTGAGGATAGTGAGACTTCATCTCTTGTACTACGGACACGTTATCAGGAGGGGCCTGTACTTGGAGAAGGACATCATGCTTGGTAAAGTAGAGGGTCAGTGAAAAAAAAGGAAGACGCCAAAGAGATGGATTGCTACAGTGGCTACAACAGTGGGCTCAAATTTAGCAACGATTTTGAGGCTGGGGCAGGATTGGACAGTGGTGTGTTTTGTTTGATTGTACACAAGGTCACTCTGAGTAGGAACTGACTTGATGGTACCGTTCAAACCTACCAGTCACTCTTCGGAAACCCTACATACAGTTTCTTTGTGTTGGAACCAACTCGACGGCACTTATAACAACACCCTTAATAATACAACAACACAGGTGGTTCTGAAATCTTAAAAATGCCATGTTCACATTTTACCCCATATCAAATATGAGCTATTTTTGCCAATTCCTAACTGAAGCAAGCAGACAATACGGGTCATAGGACTGAAGGCTCATATTTTAAATACTGGTCTCCAGTTGGCTGGTGGTTCCATGCGATAAGCACTGGACTGCAAACCACAAGGTCTGTGGTTCAAGCTTGCCAACCACTCTGTGGGAGAAAGATGAGACTTTCTACTCCCAAGAAGATTTCAGTCCTTTCAAACACTATATAGAGTTGCTAAGGAGCTCTGGTAGTGTACTGGTTATGAATCGTGCTGCGAGCTGCAAGGTCAACAGTTCGAAACTACCAGCTGTTCCGCGGGAGAAAGATGAGGCTTTCTGCTCCCGTAAAGATTTGCAACCTCGGAAACCCTGTACAGGGTTGCTATGAGTCAGAACCAACTCCATGGCACATAACAACAACAATATAGAGTTGCTATGAGTCAGAACTGACTTGACGGCAAATAACAAAAATTGGCTGGTGAATGAAACTTAAACTTTAATGATTAAGAAAATTCAATATAATGGATTAACTAAGTCTTAACTGTGTCTGCAAATATGTACTTCAAAACGTAACACTAAGTTTTCATGTAAAATACTGCAGAGCAAAAGCTTTCGACTTTGCTTGTCGTAATCTGTATGTTGCATCATTTAATTTTTTTTTCCCCTTAACAATCCTTTAAAAATATAACAAACATCCTGAAGTTGAGAGCCCTACAAAAACAGGCTGTTGATTGTTTTGGCCAGTAGGCTGTAATTTGCAGAACTTTGCTTTGACCAGTAAAATGTCTTCAGTTTAACATTTCTTTATGATATAAAATTTTTATCATGTTTAAAAATGATTCTACATACCTTCCTTGGTGTCTCTGCAAGTGTGGCAGCTTGTCTAACCCCTGGGTAGTGCAAATGACTAAGTGCTTCCCTATTAGCTGCGAAGGTTAATGGTTCAAACCCACCTAGAGGCACCTTAGAAGACAGGCCTGGCCATCTGTATCTGAAAACACTAGGGAACAGTTGTACTCTGCACACATAGCATCTGTATGAGTCAGAATTGATTTGACGGCATACAACAACCACAACAAGGGACTGAAGCTTGCCAGCTGCACATTGCACCTGCGAAAAGGATGCTTTCTTCCACCTCTGTGTTTGTCTAGCACCTGCCTGACATCACTGTGTAAAAGGAGCTACTCTGCTTGTTTTCCCACCCACCATTCCAAGTGGTGTCATATTACTTGAAATTGTGTGTCAGTCTGTCCTTTTACCGTGTTTTAAAGTTCTACCCCGTGGGCTAGTGATTACCCAGATTACCCTTGTATTCAGTGTGCAGCTGTCATCTCTCTCCAGTGCCCAGCTGTCATGTGTCTTGTGTAGCTCACTGGATCTGTTTTGCAGCAAGCATTGCTTACTGTTGAGGGTGAATTGGCTACAATGCAGGGCATCCTTCCTTGACCTTTAATATAAGTATGATTTCAAGGTAAAACCGATGAAGCTGTTCAAGAGACCAGATGTGACATTTGTGTTAGGTCCAAGCCTCACAACCAGATAGAAGCTATTTGGACAAAATGAGACAGGAAGACCGCATCTAGCAGAAAGCCAGTGTGCTGCTTAAGGATGCAGGGAAGAATAGGTACCAAGCTCAGGTGTCATAGATGTATTTTGTAAATTAAAATAATTAGGTTCCTATTGGCATTATTTTAGAGACTGGGGTTGGATCTCTATGTAATTGTGACTTAGAGCCCTGAGGGCTTTTTAAATCAACTTTTAGTAAAAATAAATACATAAATTTTGTGACTTTCTGGATAGGTGATTTCCTTTTTCTGAATTCCCTCTTGTTACTTAAAAAGAATATCAAGATTTGTTTTACCTTTTATTTGGCGCCCTCATCATATAGTGGTTAAGAACAGGAATTCTGGAGTAACTCCCCAAGTTCAAATCCTGACTCTGGTTTTAGACTTTATTTATTTATTGTATATTTTAAAGATACCAAGCATACCACTTAAAGCATGATCTCAAAATTTCTTTTTTTTATCTTTTTTTAAACTAAAGGTTGATTTAAAAGGCCCTAAGGAGCTCTGGTAGCGTAGTGGTTACGAATCGGGCTGCGAACCTTAAGGTCAGTGGTTCGAAACTACCAGCTGCTCCGCGGGAGAAAGATGAGGCTTTCTACTCCTGTAAAGATTTATACCCTCGGAAACCCTATACAGGGGTCGCTATGGGTCGGAACCGACTCGATGGCACATAACAACAACAACAACAAGGGCTCTAAGTCCTACTGCATACAGATGCCAAACCCTGTCTCCAAAATATGCCAACAGGAACCTAATTATTTTAATTCACAAAACATGTCTTGTGACACCACTGTGGTGCTGTAGGATTAGCACTGGACCACTATATTGGTTTGAACTGCAAGGTTGGTGGTTCAAACTTACCAGCTGCTCCTTGAAAACCCTATATGGGGTTGCTATGAGTCGGAAATGACAGCATTTAACAACAGCAGCATAAAATGAGTTAGTTATGATTGTTAAAAATAACAACAGA